GTTGCATTCAAAGTTTTGATGATCTTAGTTATCAAGGAAGCAATAAACGGAAGGGAGTTCCACAGGCGGGAAGTACGAGAAAAGAAACTATTGGAGTAGAAACGGCAGTTACATTTAACTATTTCAACAGTAAAAGGTTGGGACCTAAATGCCAATCTAGTAGCACGCTTAAATTTACTTCGGAACACCAGGGAAAAAAGAGCAGTATCCAGGAAAAATATTTGTAGAAAAGACAGAGAGAAGCCAAATAAGAAAAGCACATTCTGTTCTTTTGGTCTTTAATCAAAATGTCAGGGCGATTAGCTGTGGTTGTTCTGGCTGTGTGTGTTGTAAAGTCCTATAAAATTGTAACAGGTCCTTTCTCTGTAACTGGGTGTTGTTCATGCCAATTTATTGCATATTTTCCAGTGCAGATATTAGCCCTCTCTATCATGACGAGTTTTATATTCAGTGAGTGCTAACACCGTGCAACTTGATACAAGATGGTCAATTGTTTCTGGATATTTATTATTATTATTATTGTTTTATTTACTTTTTCTGGTGCGTACTTATTTCCACCCAGATCCCGACCACAGACCTAAGGTCAGAGATGGCATCATGACATTTTCCACTGAGCAATTTAAAAAAAAAAACATCGATAAAGCCCTTGGTAATGCGTGGGCTGTACTCGTGAAAACATTTTTTGTCTTTCTTTAAGGCATGGGCTTCCATGAATCCCTTCAGTGGGTCTATTGGAATCTTTTTCAATCAATCCAACTACACATTTTTGAGATTATTATTATTATTATTATTATTATTATTTCCTTGAATTCTGTTGTATACACGTTGATTTCTATTGCACACTCATTTCCTCTCGGGTTTCAACCAGCGATCTAAAATCAGAAATGAAATCATGACATTTAAAAAAAAAAAAGAATAGATAAAGCCCTTTATAAGATGTGAGCTGTAATTGTGAGCATATTTTTTTGTATTTCTTTAAGGCATGTCCTCCAACTACAACTGGAATTATCGATGTCCTTATGTTTCATATTTTTGAGATTTCTACTTCAAGATATTTTGATAGATTTTTGAAGATCTTCAAAGATACATGACAGTCTGCAGGAACTGCCATTTCAATAAGAAAACATATTCTGTTCTTGCGGTCTTTGATCACGGTGTCTGAACGATTAGATTTGATTGTTCTGTCTGTTTTGTATTGTATAGTCACATAAAATTGTTAAGTTACTATTATTATTGTTTTTCCTTTGATCTCTGGTGTGTACTCATTTCTTTCCGGGTCCCAACCAGAGACCTAAGCTCAAAAATGGCACCATTCCTTTGTAGGATATGAGCTGTGCTTGTAAGTACATTTTTTTGTCCTTTCCTTATGACATAGGCTATCGGGAATCCTTTGAATGAGTCTCTTAGAACTGTTTCCAAAACAAACCCAGCGCCCCAATCACAAATAGAATTATTGATGTCATATTGTTGAAATTTCTATTTCAAGATCTATGCGTTTTGATAGCTTTCTTGCAGTCTGTATTGTAGCTTCAAAGCTACAATACAGACTGCAAGAAAGCACATTTCGTTTTTGTCGTCATTGATCACTATGTCTAGGAGATTTGCTTTGGTGATTGAAGATTACTATAAGTTTACTGTATTGTCATAAAAACTATTTTCTTTATTTAAGTACTTTTGCAATTACCGGGTGTAACAACAAAATTGTCCAAATCGTGTAACAGCATAATTGTCCATCCCACAAAATGTTTAATATCTAAAAAAAAAAAAAGAAAAAACACTGAACTAATTGACTTTGTTTTTTCCAGGTTAAAATCGTTGTGTCAGCCCCACTGACTTCCGAACTGAGCAATGGTTGGAGGAAAAAGATCATTCAAGCCTTCAGTAATGGTACCAACATTCATAATATGGCTTTCAACTTCAAGAGAACTGTGAATAAGATTAAAATTGAGGGAACAGTAGAGAGGAAAACTGGATCAGGACGTCACAACGGGAAGAGGGATCATCTTTTCAACTTAGAGCTCAAGAGATCAATTAGAAAAGATCCAACTCAATTCATAAGACGTTTGGTCCGTGAGAGAGGAGATTACCTATGACAGTCCAAAGAACAGTGAAAAAAAGACTTGAAAATAAAAATCATACGTGAAACCTGTGAGACACCTTCTTACTCCAGGACAGAAAGTTAGAAGGTTAGAGAGGGCGAAGATCATCTTGAATAAGTTGGAAAATGATACTGGAATAATATATATATATATATATATATATATATATATATATATATATATATATATATATATATATACACTTTATTTCAATCCTTCCTGAGCTTCCGAACCTTAGCTATGATTAATTAATGATGAACATTTTCGTTTATGATCGATTTCATCACGATTCTTCTGTTAAGCTTGGAGAGTAATTATACATTATTATTGCTCAAAGTAGATTCCAATGGTGTTATAAAAAACCTCAGAGAATTCCAGTAACACATCTTTAATCATTTCTAAGATACAACGGTTCAAAGCTTAATCTAACAATTGGACAATTTTGCTGTTACACGATTTGGACAATTTTGCTGTTACACTCGGTATATTGTATATATAAAATATTAAGTACGATTTATTCTTCATCTTCAATACTTCCGGAATATTGAACGAAACAATATAAAATTCTGTTCAACATCGAGTATTTACGTCATTTGCTTTTTGTAAAGTTAAAGATCACATAAACTTCCATTTCTTCTACAGAACATCCCACTATACATAAATGCCCATTTCAATATATCTCTATATAGGGGACCTTCTGTTGACGTAGAAACGGGTATATGCATACCATATATAGATATATAGATATTTTTAAAACCGAGTGTGCCACGAAAAACCTTTGCTTATCAAGCAAGGCTAAATGGTGCCAATGCGAAATCCATCACGTCATATACTGAGATAGATCCCGTCAAAGATCCGAATCGATTAAAGAACGTCAGATCTAACGACGATTCTTCCTTCACAGGGAGACATAGGTTCCGAATAGCGCATATTTTACTTTAATAAGATTTCTCGAATATTCAAACCGGTGGATGAAAATAAATAAATATAATGTTTAATAAATAAACAGAATGTCTATTCAAATATGAGTATCTACTAAAAATAACGTTTAAAGTGATAAAATCTGTCGGATTAATAAATCATCTATTACTTCTATAAAATTATATATATATAATATATATATATATATATATATATATATATATATATATATATATATCTATCCTTTGTAATATTACTTTAATCTCCAGAGAGTTTAAAATTCCCAAGCCATCCTTCCTCACGGCTTCAAATTGTACAGTCTTTTGAGTTTTACACTAATATTCTGATATACATATGTGCGTGCGTGCGTGCGTGCGTGCGTGCGTGCGTGTGTGTGAAAAGAGTGGACTGAGCTATTAAAAAAGTTCATCTACCAAACACTGGAGTCAAGATGTTGAATTTCTAGCATCAATCAATAAGTTATGTGATAAATTTTCTTTGTATTAATCCCATATATATATATATATATATATAGTATAGCTAACAAGTCCGTTGGTATATAATCCAAGTGAATCCTAGTAATATCAGATATTGAAACTGATCCACAAAAAGAGCCCAATGCATTTATTATAACAGAACAAATAAATTACACAAGAAAATCCAAAACTACCTCCTATGGGGGCATAGATCTATTTCAACTGACGACAATAACTACGTCAGTCTTATTCAACCCGTGTTAAATAAAACTGACGTAGTTGTTGTCATCGGTTGAAATATCTACACCCCCCCACCATATGAAGTAGTTTTGGATTTTTTGTAATATATATATATATATATATATATATATATATATACACACACACACACACACACACACACACACACACACACACACACACACACACAATGTCAGTATCCAATAAAAATATTGTTTAAAGCGATATATATATAGTTAAACCTAGAGAGCCAGATAAACCTACCAAGGTTTCACCTAAGCGGATCGTCAGGGAAGGCCGATTTAATTGTTTTGGCTACTCGCATCGGTGATTTTTTTCCTTTGGGCCTTGAAATCGTATGCTGGACGATTATTTTCGGTTAACATACATGTTCTTGGTTACGTCTTTTTTTATACCTTTTTTTCCCCTTTGGTATTGGCTTGTTTATTTGCAAATCAATACACCGAAGGTTTTCCGAACCAGTATAGTTTCTTATACTTATAAGATTTCTATTAATAATAATATATATATATTAAAGACATTCTTTTTATAGATACGAGTATTTAAGTAAATGCCCTATTTATAATAAACAGTATTAAGTAACATTTACCGGCCTGAATGTCCGAGAAATTTTCATAGAAAATATTCGTCCTTTGACAGGATTCGAACCTGCATCCTATACGGAACGTGCCTTAACCGACTCGGCCACAAAGGAGCGTTCGGTAGGCAATGTCGAATTTACTGCTTATAAACTTCAATCTTCCATGAATCTCGTACATTCATAACTGCTCATGGCGTATCAAATGTAAACAAATGACGTCATACATTAAGAATTGGACAAAGTCCGACAATTTATTAAAGACATTTTTATGTTTAACATTCTTTTTATAGATACAAGTATTTAAGTAAATGCTCTGTTTATAATAAACAGTATAAAATAACATTTACCGGTTTAAACATTATTTTTATTGGATACTGACATTTGAAAAAGACAAATATCATATGGTAGGAAACTGTGGACAGCCATGATCGTCTACGCCCTGAAGGAACAGTACATAGAAGAAGAAGAAGAAGAAGAAGAAGAAGAAGAAGAAGAAGATTACAACAACAACAATTGCAAAAGGCCACAAGTATTCGGGTTCCCAGAGAGGATCGAACTTTAATGGTCTGCGAGCTTAGCTTGCTAACCATTGCTCCATGGTGAGGCGTCTCATCTCATTTTCTTCTTATCATCATTGTGATTACTTCCAGCCTTTCCTCTTACGCTTTTTATTCTTATTATCAAGGAAACAAAAGAACAGGCCGAGGAGTATAAAGGGCGTACAAAGGAAATAGTGTCATTAACAAGAAAGGGTGGCAAAGCGTCGTTTGCTGCAGGGGTTCGAGCCGAGTAGGCGGAGCTGGGAGGAGGTGAAGAAGATAAAATAACAAGCTGGAAAACAAGTGGGAGGAAGTCGAGGGCAGAGGACGAAACCGCCCAGTTCTTTTCAGCTTCTGTTATTCTCGGTAGCTCACCCGTTGGTTTTTCTTGTAAAGAATACAGTTATTATAAGATTATGATGACAAAGAAGGAAGGGACGAACGGAGAAAGGACAGAGGGTGTGTGGGGGGGTCTTTAGTGAGTTAGAATAAGGATAGGAAAAGAGAGGTGCAAGGAAATGAGAGAAGAATGGAAATAGAAAGAAATGAAAAGGAAAGAAGAAAAGTGGTTTGGGAACGAAAGCGTTTTCAATTGAAAAGATGAAAAAATTAAAAACAAAAACGTCGAAAAAAAATAAGAAAGAAAGAAAGAAAGAAAGAATTTGAATACTGACGGAAATTCAGAGGGTAAAATAAAGAAAAGAAAGAAGGAAGGATGTCTAAGAAAGAAAGAAAAAATTTAAAAACTGGGACCGAAATTTAAAGGAGAAAAAGGAAGTAAGGAAGGAAAAAAGGAGGGAAAGAAAGAAAGAAAGAAAGAAAGAAAGAAAGAAAGAAAGAAAGAAAGAAAGAATTGTCGCAAAGAAGGAACAAGGGAATTTAGAAGACAAATAAGAAAAAATTCAAATGAAACAAAAGATGCCGAAATAGAAATACAAAACGGCAAAACGAAATAGAAAAAGAAAAAGGAAGACAAAATTAAAGATAAAACGAAAGAAAATCCAAAAAGGAAAGGGTTGAAAAGAAAGAAAGAAAGAAAGAAAGAAAGAAAGAATTTTGGAGAAAAAGTTAAAGGGTGCGTGACTAGTACTTAATGTATACACAAAACAAAACGAGCGACAAAATGACATGAGATTAAAAGAGTAATTGACGATGTAAACTTAACAATGATGGCGTCGCAGGATCCTTATTAATAACGAAGCATATCGACTAAGACAGCTTGATAGTAAAACTTGAGCCGTTGGCTGAGAACACCCATCGCGCCGGATTGATTCCTCTTCGCCTTCTATACACTCTCGATGCCGTTCACTTGGCTCGATAACTTTCTTTTTGAGCAACGAAACTAAAGCAAGTCTCGAGGCAGTTATGAAAGAGTGACCTTTTATGAAAAAAATGTTTTTCTTTCATAAAATCTAATATCAATAGTTGAGTCCACGCTAATAAAAATCAAATCAAGAGAAAATTTAAATTTGGGTGGTATCTTAATTACAAAGGTTAAGCAATGTTATGTATAGTCTGTATTAAATGGGTGACCACAGCATTTTACACTGTTTTACGATTTGTTGCATAATGCTGCAACCTGGTCTATTCCAAGCAAGTGATCCTTTGAAAACTGTGACAGTAGAAAAGGGTAAAATGTTCATTATTCACTAGCAACAAGATCTACAGGGTGCTTCAAAAGTTTTGTCACCCCACCCCCCTACCAAAACAATAGTAGTAACTTGATGGATGATCGTAGCCCAGATGTCTCCAATTCTGTGCGGGTGTTCCTTTACGTTGAGGGTCGTCCTGTCATCGGTTTATCCTTAATTGATCATGTGTGAAACAGTTTGTTTCCCTCGCAGTGTCGTCCTCTTCGGAGGAGATGGTTTACCGAATCTTGTAGTGAAGTCATGTCGCACATCCTCAATGCTCTTGACAGAATGCACACGATTATGTGTCCATACATTTGCAAGCAGTCTCTCTTCCAAACTGTAGGAGCTCGTGTCAGCCATCTGATATTAAAAATTATATTATATAGACGTGACAAGACTTTCGGACCGCCCCGTATTTATTTCTGCGTCTGCTTGTTGCTGCAAAGTGTCAAAAACGTCAAATAGTAGCGTTATTTCTGTTAGCGCAATACCATTAAAATTGTCTAACATGCAGAATGAAATAATTTCCATATATATATATATATATATATATATATATATATGAGAAAAGGATTAAATGTTTTACATAGAAAGATCGATTACATATTTTTAGATAGAAAAAATATAACAAATTTTATATGGAAAGTGATTATATATATTAGGATAAAATTGAGAACAATTGCCATATATGGACAGGAGCTGCCGACACTTCACTTTCCATTCTCGATAGAGCCCAAAAAGTATCTCCACGTCGTTATAGGTGACACATTATTTCCGAGACTAGAATCCCTTTTCTCGCAGACGAAAGATCTCAAGCCTCTCGCTACTCTAACGCTATTTCCTTCGAAATTGTTCAGACAAAATACACTCCTTAGTTTCACCATTTTTAACCTTCCCATGTCATGCCCATTGCAGCGAACCACCGTCATTCCCTTCGTATTCCATGGGTGAGACGGAAGTTCCACTCGAGCAGCTTCCTCCTACGTACCACTGGTTTGTGTAAGTGACCCTCAAGAGGATGCTTCTCCGATCACTATAATCTTAATATCTCCATAAACTGTGTCTTTTACTTTGTAACCTTCTACCTCGAGTGGCTCCCGGGTCTTGTACAGGGTGAATATCATTTTAACAAAATATCTTTGTGTATAAACAAAATTATAATAATTTTATATTTTTATATAGAAACATGATTACATTCTTTTATACGGAAAATTTTTTATATATATATATATATATATATATATATAGAGAGAGAGAGAGAGAGAGAGAAACTCCTCTTCAACGGACTTCTGATGCAATGTGCAAATACTACAGGCAAAGCAAAAAAAAGTCATGCAGGGAAAATACTTCGAAATCGTCAGCGATGTATTTCAAAATTTGCGGGCTTAACGGAACGAGTCGTATTAGTTCTCAAAGTGACCACTTGGTGGCAGGCCTTTCAAATGTAAACAAAGACGGGTGTACAGTATATAAAGTACGTTATATTAGCGGGTACGTGAGAAAGTATCTGTGAGAAATCTATTATTTTTGTTATTTTGATTGATATATCTATACCAAGTACAAATTTATTTGTGCCATATATAAACGTTTATAGTATTTACATTATGATCATAACTACTGGTAGTTACTATAGTGGTTTTATAACTCAAAAATAATCACTTCCCATATACGGACATTCGGCTTTAACGGACTACCCCTCCCCACTATTAGTCCGTTGATGAGAGGTTTGTCTATATATATATATATATATATATATATATATATATATGATGGACTCTCCCGTCGAGTTCGACGTATGAGGTTCCGACGACTATGATCTAATTATCTGCATGCCTATGACGGGTATGACTTTTGAGACTGGCTCGAGAATTGCAGAAAAGACTACAAACAGTACAGGAGAAACACTGTTAGCTGTCTTATTTTGCTTTTGTGTTTCACGTTGTCGACTGATGCTTACTGTTTGATGGTGTATTATTCCTGAATGGCATCGAGAACGATGCTCTGATCTCTTCATAGCTACCTCTTTAAAGTTCTTGAATGGAATGTTGACGCAAGAAAGGTTGCTTTTCAATTTATCTTTATACCTGAGCAAATGTCTACCAACATTTCTATGGAGTTGACTGTAGAAAAGAACTTTTGGTATGCGATCATTACTCATCCTTGCCCCATGGCCAGCCCAACGTAATTGTGATTGCATTATATATTATATATATATATATATATATATATATATATATATATATATATATAAACTAATTCTATATTTTTATATAAAAATAAATCTTTACGTATTTCTAGCTAGAAAAATTATTTTACATTTTTCATATCGAAAAATTATTATAAATTTTGAAATAGGAAAACGATTACATAATTTTTATATCGGAAAATACTAGCATATGTATTTGTATTGAAATTATTTTATGAAATAACTTCAGATCACGTATATTATTTTATGCAAAAATTACCTATTATTACCTGCAAGCTTGTATGTTCAAAGTTTATTTTTTAACATACATGATTGCAGCTTGTATGTTCAAAAATTAGTTAACATTCGACTCCTTCGGATTATGGATAAGAAGAAATACAATTAAAGCTAACTTTAAATGTTAAATGCCGTTGGAGTTCATTAATTATACGGTAGTCTCCTTTTGGTGATTGGCTAATAATTTTATTAATAAAGTCTCTAAAGAGGAAGTGACTTGGTATCGAACTTAAAGGCTGCTTTTATCGACCTTTAAGCAACTAGCAGTAAATATTGAATAATTAACTGTATGGACATTTCTCACTCACGTGCTACACTGGCGGTATCGATTCTTGGTTCTCTACTGGAGTTAGTCGGCTGTTAAAGCTGTTGAATATTTTAGTCGTTAAATTCTGAAAAAATATGTACATTTGTGATTAGGTCAATACAAAGAGTAAGCATATTTTTTCGTACAGTTTAAGAATTCGTACGATTGGAAAACTGTTATTATATAAACAAGCAAAATATATCTGAAGTTGCTGTTATTGCTAAGAGTTGATAGTTTGTTTTGTTTAACAGTATATCAACATCTCTATGGATTATTTAATGCCGAAACCTGAATATGTTGAACATAATTTTATGGCTTCAACTAAATATATTTTGAATGCAATTGTATGTCTTCAACGACAGATAAAACGTATTGTTGGTAATTATATTATATTTACTATAAAATGTATTGTTAGTCATTTTCCTTTAAAAATGTATGGTTAATTTTATTATAAATAGGTATTGCCGCTAATTCTTTTCATATAAAATGCATCGCTAGTATTTTTATTATAAAAGTTTATTTTTATACTTTCATAGTGTTTTTATGGGGGGGGGTACTATTTGTTCATAGTTGGGATCCTAAAAGGTGCTACCACCCGGGATCAGGGTGGACCTGAAAACAGCAGCAATTAAGAAGTGGTTTCACGATCCTCAAAACCTCCAATCTCCTAATCAGAGGCTTTGCTGCCGGATGTAGTTTATCGTCATACCCAGGACTAATTATTGCCCAGGAATTGAATAAAACTTTATTGACGCTTTGAGAATAGCTTTCGGGCGCAAAATCAGAGAGTGGAACAATATGTTCGTAGCCAGACATGTAGTTAGTTGAATTTTTCATCGTACAATTTAAATAATATTAAATAAATAAAATTAAAAGTGAAATTTGAAAAAAATAAAGTTTCGATATTAAATGACACAAAGCTCGTAAAATGAACCACCCTAACGGATTAAGTGCATTCACAAGAAAGGGGATTATGTTGCAAAAATAAATATTTAAGCGGTAAGGCTTGATGAAACCTTTCTGCTAATCTAGATTGGCGATAAGGTTTCATCAAATCACAGTTTAATTGTCTAGATATAATCGTAAGTTCTATGCTAACAGTTTATTTTCTTCGCTTGTGGAACTATCTTCCAACTCCAGTCTTCTTGAATACTCTTTTCGCTCCATAATTTTTCTCTTTTTCTTACTCCTTCGCACTCAATACTCCCTCGTGCCTTAGTGGCTTTACGTCCTTGATTTGGGTGAAATGATTAAAAAAAAATCATATATATAAGAAAGGCTCGTTAAAATGTATGCAATGCCAATTCCTACACTCTTGTTTCAGTCATGGCTCTCCATAAATTCTTTAACATTTGGAAATTGCCATGATTCTTAAGAACGTAAGCGATCATGGCTCTCCACAGCTACTTTGACTTCTTAGGAAAGTTAGTTAAGTGATTTCGCATTGCTTTCTCCACAGTTTTGAAATTCAGAATCGGCCTTCTCCTAAACTGGTTACCACACAAGGCTAGAGAGCCTAGTCTACACTGATATTTAACCCATAACTGGAGAAGAAATGGGTTAAAGCCTTTTCCATGGGTATGTTGGATAATGAATGCAATAGACTAAGCTGAAATTGCCGATTTCCCCTTTCAGTGTCTACTGACAGGTTAAAGCGTTTCGATGAAGGTGTCGACTTTGGCACTTCTGCTCTTCCATACTAAAGCATAACTCATTCTTTGCGAAAGTATCAGAAATATTTTCAAAGCGTACAAAAACTGTTTCCTCAACTCCTGCTCTTAGAACAACGGTTAGAAAGTTTGGTCGTTGCTTGTAAGTTTGATGCTCAAATGCTA